CTGCTGACTGCCTCATCTTCATGGATAGAATATACACCAAAGGCCAGATACATTTTCTGCTGGGAAGCCCTTACCCTTTTTGTGAACCTTCATTCGCCAGCTTCAGTACGTCGGGCTTGCTCAGTGCTTTGAAATAAATAGTTCACAGTCTGAAGGAACATACCCTGAGATGTGGATGATGGAGGGCTGCCTGCCCCCATGGCCAAGGGCAAATATCAGCCTCTGCCAGTCTGGGTTTTCAGTTTTGAAGGGGAACAGCTCCGCATCTCTGAGATCCCAGCTGTGGAAGGGGATCTCAGCTGGATGCCCCAGTGGTGGAGGCAACCAAACCCCAGCAGGACAGGACTCCTGTTTGAAACCTTGGCTCCCTTTGCCAGGCAAGCCTGGCTGCTTCCCAAAAGCTACGTTAATACAAAACAGAGAGACCAAAGAGTTACCGAGACCTCAGAGGTTTTATGAATCCTTTTATTGCTCAATCTTCCACCTCTCTCTGTAGAGGAGTTGTCTCTCTCAGGCTGTACAAAAGGTCACACTGAAAGCTCGCCCAAAACTTTGATCTGGAAACCTAAAGGCAAAAGCTCTGTTTGACTTCTGGCATCTCCTCCGGCGCTGACAGACACCACTGCCTGCATTTGATGTTTTGCCTTTTCCATTATTCCATAACTCTACAAAATGCTCCATGCCTTCTTGGAGAAAGCTGAGGTGTTTGCACCACGGCATCCTCCCGGGATGAGTGGCAGAACCACTGCTTTCACGGGGAGGATCTGTGGTTTTTCCCTCGTGGGGAAAAATATGGAGCAGGTCTCTTCCCCATCGCTCTTGCTGTCCATGTGGGGAAGGAAGCCAAGAAATAACAGCAGCAGTAGCAAAACCGAGTGTCTCTAGATAGCAGCACAGCCAGAGGCACTTCCAAGTAGCTGAGCTCCCAAAGGACTGAACTTGATGAAGAAGCAAACCAAACTGCAGCAACAACCAGCGCAAACACATGCAAGGAAAACACCCCCAATTTGTGTTAGGCTTTAAAGCCCTCGATGAGAGCCCACCAGCAGAGCAAGGGCTTTTCAGGTTCTTCCACAGTGATGAATTTGCCAAGGCTGAGATCCCCGAGCTGCCAGAGCAGGGCAGCTGTATAACAATGAGCTGATGCAAAGATCGGATGTGAAAGGAAGATCAAATATCAAAGTAGAACAAAACAGGACAATGAATGAAAGGCTGGGTCGCTCCCTGCTCCCTCCTGCATTACAACAGAGCCTGGGATCAGCTCCCTGGGTGGGAAGGGGCTGAGCCCTGCCAGACCCATCCTTTGTGTTTAAGTGCTGGATGTGGTGCTGCTGACACCCGGCGTGCTCCTATAAATATGTATAACCGGTAGAGCACAATCCCTCTGTGCTCTCTGCCTTGAACAACTGGAAGAGGAGCTTTAGATGCTGTTTGATGGGGAAATGCATATCTTAAGACCTGACAAAACACAGCATGCAGCCTGCATTCATTGCTGGCGAAGGGGCAGGACGAAGCCTCTGCAGACCCAGGTGTCATCTCCAGTGCTGCCACAGGCCCTGGGGAAGTCACTGTCCCTCAAAGCACACATGAAAAATCAGAAATAAATTGCAGGTCCCTTTGCCAAAGCTCTTGGAGATCTACTGGAGAGAAATGAGATGTCACCCCTGTGATATCTCAAGACCTGCACCCTTGCTTTTATCCGGTCCCCAGTGTGGACACGATTACATAGGAATGCCCGTTTTTAAGGTAGTGCTCTATTGAGCATCTCAGGCTAAAAAAGACAGAAGCAATTGCACTCATAACCAAAAGAGTTAGGGGGAAAAAGCACCAAGGCAATAGGGAATTACTGCCTTTTTCAGGGGGTTGTGCTTTCACGCCCCGTGACGATGAGCTGGGTTTGGTAACTGGCTGCTCTGCAGCTTTTTGCTTCAGGGAAACATGTTACGTGGTTGGAAGCTGCGGATGTGATTAGAGGGACTAACCTCTACCAAGTGCTTACACAGTCATACTTTTTGCTGTCAGTTTTTTTTCCCCTTACTATCTAATCACCAAAGCACTTGCACAGAGGCGTGAGAAGCATGAGAGCTTCCTGAATTTTGCACAACCTCATACTGCTTCATTTCATCACTGTTTACTTGCAGAACCCAGTTTCTTGATCACAAGCTCAGAGAGTGTTGGTTCCCATGGGCCGGGCTATCCCTGCCTGCAGGGATGCTGTGGGACCCTCCACCTGGGACCACAGCCACCTCTGTTACCCCATAGAGGGGACATGCCCGGCCATTGTGGGAGGGGTGGTGGTGGCTTTGTCGGGGCTTGCTTCCCCCTCCAAGAGGCTGGGAGCTGGTGCAGGGGAGGGAGGTCGCTTTTCTGGAGAGAACGCCCTGCCAGAAGAGCTGTTCCCATCTCGGCTGGAGAGAGGACACGGGAGCAGCCTGTGAACCGGCAGTCAGACTTTATCTGACCTTTTTATTTATCCGACCTGCCCTGCCTGTAAGACTGAACACAAAATGTCACGCAGTTCCCTTGTATCCAGCCTGCAGGCATAGGCTTATCTAAACTACACGTGTCTGTGCTTCTCCAGTCCTGCAGCCAAGTTTCCATCAATGGCTCTCTAAGTGCTACAAGTCCCTCGACTCACCGCAGCGGGTATCCAGCCAGGATGACAAAGCACACGGATCCAAAAGTGACACTTGCCTGGAGCAGTAAACAAACTATTTCCCAAACTACCTTGCTCGTTAGTGGCTAGGCTGGCCCAGCTCTGCTCCCGTGAACTGCCTCGTTTCATCTTCAAAATCCCAAGACGGGCATGGTGAAAGGATCCCACGTCCCCAGCTCACCGCATGTGGAAATTACATTAACAGCAACTGCGCTCCCCAGCACAGAGCAATTAAAGGATCAGGTTAAATAACAACTAGTCTTTGTATCCAAGCCCAGAGCATATGCTGAACAAATTTGTGCTCGTGGTCTACGTCTTTGCTCAGTAAGCACGGCCCCTTCCTGCCCCTGGGCTGGGGGGCTGCAACTTCCCCAGGCCCCAGGAGGAGAGAGACACCAGCCCAGGTCACAGCCTCACCGTTCTTTGTTTCTCAGGTCATCCGCCAATAATCTTCCTGATACACAGGTGTATGAAATTTGTTTGCAAATTTGCCTGAATTCGCCTCCAAATAATTTAGATGAACAAGACACAGCCTAATAAAGAGATGTAAAAGATGAAAAAAGCATTAAATGAAAAACACGAGTTTTCCCCATGAGCACCTTCACTTATCAAAAGAATTAAAGATCACAGCTACATTTTATATTAATTTATTAGAAAAAAGATACACAGTTTAATGTGCAAATATATACAACAAACATTACAATGAAACATCAGGAAGGTGAGCCCCTTCCCTCTATCAATGACTTACTCCTTCGTAACAGAGATGACTGTTTAATGCTTCCCCACAGATTTACAAATACAAAAAATGTATAATGCTTCATTAGCACAAGACAAAAGTTTATTTTTATTTGAACAAAAAATATTCTGGCTTTGACATGGCAAAAGTCTGCTATTTTGGTGGCTTTTAAATTTTTTTTTAAACCTGAGCAAGTTTTGCGGAACAGGGGATCAAAGGAAAGGCATTGCCCTGTGCTTCATTCTCATCACAGCATCTGATGGTCTTTGAATTACTAAGCCACTGAATCACTTCAAGTGAATGCAACTCCAAAATCTACATCTATGATGTAATTAGTAACATGGAAGAGAGCAGGCACTACCACTGACAGAAGTGAGCTGGTTGAAAACACCTGCCTCAAGTTAAATGGCTGTTGACGTTTCTCAGGTAAAGTGTTCCTATCCACCAGTAAGGAATTTAATGCTGCCTCCTGTAAAAAAGGAATTACAAATGGAAAATATAGTTTCATCCATAAAGAAAACAAGTCTCGGATCCTGCTATGTCTTGCTCAAATGTGTCATCATTGAAAGACTGCAGAATAAGGTCATATTAAACCCGAACTGAGCAAAGACCTGGGGAATGCGTGGAACTCCGGTAAGGACTGAAATCCTGCTCATTCCAGGACAGAAGTTCAGATCAGACTGATTTATTTATGATTCTTTAGGTTCTATTTCAAGCAGGTGCTTGATGCAGGCCATTTTTGTGTTCAGTGGCCACAGACAAATTGACTAGAAGAGATCCATCTCATCTCTGATCTCCTTCCCATGCCCGGGCGCCAGCAGTGGGGAGAATCCAGCCGATCATCCAAACAGTAACCACAGGATTGAAATCATTTAGCTCGTTTGTTTTCCACACCATCCTGCAACTGAACTTCACCTGGCAACTCCACAGAGTGACATTTTCAAACAAAAACTATTTTTCTCATTTAGCGCTGCTCTCCATTTGAAACGAGAAAGCCCAGCGGTGCTGGAGAAGGCACTACAAGTCCTGAGCAATGCCCATTCCCTCAGGAGACAAGAGTTTCCTAAGGGACCACTGGCCGTCTCTTAGGAGGCTCTGCCTCATTTAGGTGCAGAGCTGCTCTCTGTATCAGCTCTCATGATTCTTTTTTAAGAAATACGTACAAATAACAACATACCAGACCACAGCAGAAAGAAGACACTACCAGGTGTGTTTCTGGCTGATCCCAGAGACGGGGCTACATTTTCGGACCTGACACTCTCAAAAGCTGACTCACTTTTCATGTGCTTTCACAGGTTTTCTTTCCTCTTTTGGCCAGGGGACCAGTATTTAAAAACAGACTTCATTAATGAGTGCCTCCTTTTTGCTCTGTACCACCCCTCCTCTCCCACCAGCAGGCTCTACAGGTTAGCAGCATAACAGCCTATAGGTATGTCCTATACCTATCCTATATCTACACCTGCAGTCCTGTACCAAACAGGGGCTGTTGTGGCTCCCTTCACAACAAAATCCTCAATAATGGGGTGGCCACAGCAGATTTGGCCTTTGCCAGCCTCCCACCAGCAGTCTCTACAGGTTAGCAGCATAACAGCCTATAGGTATGTCCTATACCTATCCTATATCTACACCTGCAGTCCTGTACCAAACAGGGGCTGTTGTGGCTCCCTTCACAACAAAATCCTCAATAATGGGGTGGCCACAGCAGATTTGGCCTTTGCCAGCCTCCCACCAGCAGTCTCTACAGGTTAGCAGCATAACAGCCCATAGGTATGTCCTATACCTATCCTATATCTACACCTGCAGTCCTGTACCAAACAGGGGCTGTTGTGGCTCCCTTCACAACAAAATCCTCAATAATGGGGTGGCCACAGCAGATTTGGCCTTTGCCAGCCTCCCACCAGCAGTCTCTACAGGTTAGCAGCATAACAGCCCATAGGTATGTCCTATACCTATCCTATATCTACACCTGCAGTCCTGTACCAAACAGGGGCTGTTGTGGCTCCCTTCACAACAAAATCCTCAATAATGGGGTGGCCACAGCAGATTTGGCCTTTGCCAGCCTCCCACCATCCTCCTCCTCTTTACCCTCTTGGGAATATAATGGAATTTGACTTAAAAAGAAAAAAAAAAAAGCCCTGGGGGAGGACTGCTCTGCTTTTAAAACATTTTTAAAATTCTTTTTTAATTGCGCCTCTTTTGTGTATTGGACTAACACAAGAATGCATGTCACAGACCCTGGAGCAGCAGAAAAAAGCAGACCTTAAATGAAAAATCTGAATAAATCCCTAAACTTAGCTTTTAGTTTAAAAGTGAAAGTTAGAAACCAGTGAGCAGCGTTTGATCAAGATAACAGAGTGGTGGGGGCAGGTTCGGAAGTTGAAAAGGGGCCATTCTGATCTAAGGTCCTTGCCAAGATACATGGTTATGTCCTTTTAGGGGAAAAAAACTACCAAAAGACCTCCTTCTTCTCTAAACTTCTGAACGATCCGTTAGCCAGGTTTATCAAAGTTTAAATATTTTTACAGTAAACTAGAATAACAAGTGAGCCAGTTGTCTCCAATAACTTGGTGTTTTTCCACTTCAGAAGAATTTCTGACAGCATGAAAAGGAACACTCCAGTCAGATGTGAGCTGTTCTGTATGCCACTGCAGTCCGCATAGGAGGCTGCCACGCCATCACCCCGCGGTCTGGGGTCTGCAGCAGCAGAGCATAATTTTACCTGCCCTTTGCGGATGCTTTCTGTCCCCTACTGGTCTCAACTGGTCTTTTAATTCTTTCAGTCCTGCAGCGTACACCAAAAGCTTTCAGTGACATGTATTATTTGTACACCTTGCAAGCAAGGCAGTTATTCTGAGCAGAAAGGCGAAGGTCCCTGTAAGCGTGGCCCTTCCTGGCGTCCCTCTCTGCAGCACCCCCGGGGAGGTGCCGGGCTCCTCCGCCTCTCCCCAAACCCACTTCCCCTGCAGCAACACCACACCCAGTGCACGGCTGCTCACAGCCTTCCTCAACCCCTTTTAGGACAGAACTGGGTTTCAGCAAACTGAATTTCACACCAGACAGACAAGATTTATACAGAAAAGTCCGAATTCTTTTCCAAACTTTTATGAACGTTAACCTTCATTTAGAGGGGGCTGGGGGGCAGAGTATGAGGAAACAGCTGGTAGCTATCTGCGCTGTAAACCCCATTTTCCCAAGCAGCTCTAGTCCAGGACACTTTTATACCTGCAGGCCTGGGCGCCCAGTTTGCCCCGGAGTCAATTAAGGAGCGGGTGAACCTCGTTGTTCTCACAGGGTAAGCTACCAAGAGCCTAGTCACCAGAGATCCCCGGTTTTGTATTTGCTCCAAAGAAGCAGTGAGGCTTGCAAGCACTTCAGCTCTCTTGAGGTAGGAGAAAAATGGCGTTTCTGTGAGCTATGCTGCCTCTCCCAGCAGGATGAGTGACTCGGCCGTGTCCCAGTTTCCTGGAGGGCCCAAAAGGCTGAAGCAGAATGGGTGCATGGAGGACAGCAAGTAGGAGCCTTCAAGGAAAGCTTCTGCAGTGACATTTCTACAGCCTCTGTTTGGTAAATCAGCGCTTTTGGGATGTCAGATTACAGTAATACAAGGCGGTAGCAACAGGCACGTGAAGGGAGGCCAGTGACTTGGCACTGTCAAAGAGGAAATCTTTCGTAAGGGTCCTGGCTGCCTGGATCAGACCTCCTATGGCTACTCGGACATGCCTGCACCAGTGAAGCCTGGAAGACCAAATCCAGTGTGGGTCACCCAGCAGCACTGCATACTTCCATGATTCCAGTGGCTGTGTGCCACCTTAAAATAAAGATTGCAGCCAAGCTTTTAAAGTTAAATATGTTATAAACTATACACATATGCGATCCTGAGATAGTGCCTGTAGCAAGTCCCAAGGTAGATAAGCTTCCTGAACCCAGAGGTCCTCACGCCGCGTAAGCGCATTGTTGTTTTATTCTGGCAGGCCTGCTAGCCTCTCTCCAGCACACTGCACTTCCTAATTCTCTTTTTTTTGGGGGGTGGGTCTAGTGAAACAATCAGTCTGACGACTGCTACCAGCAATTCCAATGGCATTTCTTCTGCAGTTCAGATGAAAGCATTCTTGATCCTTTGCCAGTTCTCCCAAGACTTGCAGAAACAGGCTCACAGCTTCCCTTTCTATTTTTTGGCCAGCCAAGAGCTGTGTGCCTGCAGCCTCCTGCTAGAGGAGCAGCTGTGCTGTGCTGTGCCGAAGACACTCCTCAAGATAGGGGAGAAAACATCAGTAGGAATCAGACAGAAAGGCGACAAATATAAGCCACAACGGAGAGAAGGAGCTTAATACGATGACTGTCATCTAGAGGGTCAAAGACCATGTCCCATCAGTAGGTATATAGTCCTGTTTTGAGTTTCTGACAGCATCAGCTCAGAGTCAGACCTTTTAAACCTGGGGGAAAAATATTTTCCAAAATTCTCTTTGCTTAAGCACTATATATTCAAAGTTCTTTTTATTGGTTCAGTATTTTAGCCCTTAGTTGATTAGTCACCAATACCTGTCAGGTGCCCGCTGCCATAAAAGCACTCTGAGCACCCGCAGTATTTGTAGGAATATCAAAAAATAGCTTTAGCAACTAGGAATTATGCAACAGAGGGAGAAGGCAGGACTAACTAGATTAATGCAACATGTAGTGGATTTTGTTAACATTAAGTGTATGACTCGTTGCAGAATCATGCCAGAAAATGGTACCATGTAGCTTACTGATAAGGGAAGTCAAAAGGGTAATGCATTACTTCAATCATCAGTGAACCACTCACTCATTCAACATACTATTTCCAGCTGATATCAAAGGTTTGCATCAAAAATGCTGTTCCTCTACAGACCGTGAGCATCTTGCAACTCTCTCAGCCTTTGAACTCTACTGTGATAGCTGCTTCATTAACATTGTGGTTCCAGTGCAAAAAAACCCCATCCTCCAGATCCTAAATCTTCTTCCTTTAGACTTTTGATTGCCTCTCATCTGTCCATTCCTGCTTAGTGTTCTGTAAAGCTTGGGTCTTCTGTTCATCTACCTGGACATAGTCCACTCTCTGCTCCTCAGAGAGAAAAGGTTTCTGTGGGAAAGAAAGGAAAAAATCAACGTATTAATTTTAGGCTTGATTTTCTGTTTTCCCTTCCCCTTGTTCCTTGATTGCTTCACTTCACCTTGAAGCTCACAGTGACATCAGCTGACAAAAGCATTGCTTTACAGCCTGCTTTAGCTATAATTATCCATCTGTCACCCTGTCACTCAGCCCAGCACAGCGAGCAAGGGAAACGTGCTGTTCTGGCTATTTCCATGCAGATAATCATTCTCTTCTCATCCAAGTGATCCTGCTGCAGGGATAACCTAACTGCATTTTAACTACAGGGTGGGGGCGGCGGGGGGATTAAATAAGAAAGCTTAGGAGTCTTGAGTCTTTTGTCTCCAGGAGTATTACCTGATGGGGAAAATGATACACAGGACAAAATGGCACAAACCAACAACAGTTCATTGCTTTGCAGTGGTACCTACCCATCACCTGGCAGGTTATAAGCTCTTTGGAACAAGGAATGTATTTTATCAGCATTGCTAAGGAAATTGAAATGCTTTTGGTGATGCAAGAATAAAGATGTGCATTTTGCCATGTTACAAGAGATGGTACAGTTCTACCCCATGAATTGATCATGGGCTGTAAACTTGTTACTGCAAAGAGATTTGGGGGAAAACTAGAAGGAAAGGCTTTTTGGAGACTTGATGAAAATGGAAGAGCATGCAGAGATCCTGCAAGCACCAACAAGCTTGCTCACAAACCCTCACAGCTGCACATCCCAGCATGGACTTCTGCCCTCTGCCGAGCTCGTGTTAACGGCATCCCTATGAGTCACGCTAAGGACACCTTGTCATCACCCTAATAGGGCTTTTATTATATTAATCTTGAGCCTGCCACAAATGCAGTCAGCTGGAAACACGACTGGCTTCATCGTGATAGTTAGGGCACCTAGCAGAGTGTGACTCTTGGTCTTGTTTTTCTCCCAGCAGACAAAAAGACAGGAGGCCATAAGGTTTTTCATATGACTCATACCTTCTGTACAGGGGATGGGGAAGCAGAATTAAAATCCAATGCTAAGTAATCAAGGTTAGATTTCCTTGTCCATGGAAAAGCACCACTGTATGGAGATGTTGCCTGTCTGTGTTCCTGTCGGAAAAGAAGAGAAACTTTTAATGCTCTTAAACATGATCCTGAAAAGAAGCAGGACTACAACTGGGAGGTGGGAGACTCGTCTGGCAGAATGTGAGTGAGGAGGGTCAGCACCCACATAGCTTTCTACGCCAAGGGTGCCTTTTGGTGACTAACCACAGGATAACACTGATTAACTGCGAGATGGTATAAAAAAACCCCCAACTGTGAGAGCCTTATTCTCCTGGTAATTACAGCAAAACAAGAAAACCAGGGTGATTTTCATTTAATGCTACCAGGACGGACTTGTGCCCAGCTTCTCAACCCAAGCCCTTGGGAGGCCCAGATTTGCAGAGGTGCCCTCTTAACCAGCATCGTTCTATGAATTTGAAGAAATGGTTATACTTCTGTTCAAATCTAGCAACTGAACATTAATCTCAGGAAAATCCCAGATGACCACAAATGTATGGAAGGTTTTATTTGACTGGAAAAATCAAATAGGGCATAGTTACAACCAGAACTGCTCTCCTGAGCAGATTTTGATGTAGTAAAGGTGTGGGTTAAAATTTGAGACTATGGTTCATGGAGACCACAGTCAGTTTTGCCATATATTTTTATAGCTACTGCTGTTGGGCTTTGGCTGTGGAGCCAAATCTGTAGACATTGGCTAGATCAAGGGATTTGAGATCCATTTCCACCTAAAATTCAAAGGAAACTGAGATTCTGGTCTTTTGCAAGATATGGCTAAAGAGTGAATGAAGAAAAGGAAGCCACAAAGCCAGATGTTCTTTCATGGGATGGGAAGTGGGGTTAGTGCCACCAGCCAAAGCAGAAGCAATAAGAGACTTTAATGGGAGTTCTGTTTCTGCACAATATTTGGTGTGTTTCTTTAGGAAGTGCACTAACGGCTTTCTGTCATTTCCTAGGAGATTCTGCAGGGCACACTTTTAAAAGGTGAAAAGATTTAATTTTCCTTTGCCTTAATGAGTTCTCATGTAAATATGGCTGATCCCTGTGATCTCTTGGAACTGCTCAGCAACATTCGTGGGTGAACAGCTGAGTTCTGCAGAGCAGAAGAAGGGCTTCCCTTATCTCTCCGTAAATTGGTCCCAGTGTCTTTGGTTTAAAACCGTTTCATCATTTTTTTAAAAAAACAGAAGGCAAAGGACAAACCTCCTCAACATTTTTTCTTAGAAAACAAACTTCTGCATTTTCCATCAATGTGACAGAGCAGAATAAAGCAAAGGATGGCTGTGTGAAAATGAAGATTACCATATGAATGTAACTTTCTTCCTCTTCTCCGGAAACTGAATTGGCAAATATTCTTGCTGAATTAATACCGTCTCTTTCTGGTGAGATAAAGCTCATTCGATTGCTATGAAGGAAAACACAGGAGAGGTTAAGGAAGCATCTTACAGATGCTCTGAAATGAAGCCAAAGCCTGACACAGTCCATATGGTGAATAAACTCACAGTAACGCTGCAGCCTTTATGGAAAGGATGTCCAAAACCACTCCTCAGTTCTAGAAAAAAGTGTGCTGTATTACTAGGAGTGGTTTTGTTGATTTTTTTTTTTCTGGGATTTATGAAAGTTTGCCGTCTCTGGCATGACAGAAAGCATAAAACATTGGAGCAATTCTCCAGAAAGGGGCACAGAGACATCATTCCTCCAGATAATATGTGCTGATGGGGCAGTTACTTAGTTGTGCGGGTATCCACATTTTGGAGATCAATGTGAATTAATCAGCTACTGAAGGTGCATGCAGAGGAATTTGTCTGACTTTGAACACAGAGTATGTGCTATGGAGATGGCTGCGACTCAGCCCTTGTACAAGAAAATCTCTTCCACTAAGATAACTTTCAGAGGTGTATCATGAGTAAATTATTGCAGGCTAGCACAATGGGGTTAGTTATTAGGAGATCAGATGGCCACTTTGTGCAGTACGAACAGTACAATTCCTTTTGCTTTATTAGTTCCGGGCATACTTATTTTTTTATTTTGTTAATGCAAAACATACAAACTCCCTCTGAACTCATTATCCTCAGGACTCTGCACTGTGTCAGCACTAATTAACCACTGTGCTCTGGCAGGGATGCTTGGAAGGCGGGCTACTAGGTTTCCCCAACAGGCAGCACTGATGGGCTTGGTCAGCTTTGGATTGTATGGCTGGGAGAGGGGTCTGCAACTGAGAAAGTGCTTGTCTTGCACCCCTTTTGCCCTCCAAATGACCATCTGAGGCAGAGGAGTGGAAATGTCCTGTCTGGCACTCATGCTAGCAAAAAAACACATTTTCTGGAGTGCCCGGGGTACGCAGAGGGGGTTGATGGGAATTCCTGGCTTTTGCATGCACACTTCAGCACAGCTGGCTCTGCTGTCAGCCTTTCCCCATAGTGCCAAGATCTCCCCAGCCAGCAGGCTGCAGTCTGTCCTTGCTCACATGTTCCCTGAAGATGAGTCTTTCAATGCCCATGGAACCCAGCAGTATCATCTGTTCATAGTTCCTGGGCTTTGTTTTTACCCCACAACTAATTTCCAGTGACGCGAGGTCATACTAGCAGACCAAGCCTGAATTGCTGTGTGGCAGTGCAGAAGTCTACACCCAGACTGCAAGTCAGGTAGATCTTATCTTATCTGGTTATCCTTTGCTATATTAATTTTCAGGAACAAAAATGGCCCTATCACTTTGAAAAAATAAATAAATTAAGGTACGCAAAGCTTTTAGCCATTGCAGCAGGCACACCAAAATGCAGACAAGATCCAGTCTTTTCAAAAAGAACCCTTAAAAGAGACTGAGTATCACTGTGTGATACTGAATGCACTGGAACTGCCTGTCATGAAAGGGAGCCTTGCTTTTTAGAGACAGCAAAAGCCTGGGGGATGCTGGAAGGAGACCTGGGGAATTTTTGTTCGTGGACTTTGCCAGGAAACAGTTTCTTGTGGGATGTGATAAGTTATTTTTAACTCCATTCCACAATGTTAATACTTAAAAGATTGGAACGGCAGGTTTCTTGTTGACTTACTAAGGCACAGTCCACATCCTGGTCACGGCAGCATGCTCCCGGATTGTGGAAAGGTTCCTCAAGTCCAGAGGAGGTGGCCGTGCTGCAAGTAGATACAAAAGGTACTAAATTTCCAATAGCAGAGCTAATGAAAAGTACAAACTGTTTAGAAAAATGCAGTCTTATATCGACAGTAAGAAACTAACAGAGTATTTTACAAAACATAACTGATATAACCAATATAATAAGAAATAAGTATCATATGACCACTTCAATCAGCACTGGAAAGCAAGACCCTCATTTATCCTAAAATAACAGAATAAATACAATGGGGATAAGTAGAGTAAATGCCCCAAAAGATCCATGTGCTTGCCTCAAATCTGTTCTGCATGTGCTGCCTTCAAGAGGTGAGGCCAGTTCAGCCTACAGGTCAAAACAGGTTTTGGGTTCTCTTCTAAACAAAAAGGTCCTACACGTGGAGATCAAGATCATTCTTCTCACCAGTTAACGTACATTTTTCACTGTTCTCAAAACCGTCTATGAAAGGTCCTAAGCTTGCTTTGCTTCCTGGCAATGGTCTATATTTCTGTCCCCAGTTCACAGTAGCATTTCCTGAACCAGTGTCTGAGAAGCTCTGGCTCTGCAGCCCAAAGAGCTTTAATGTAGGCTAGATTTAGGCAACTTCTCCACTGCAAAGCTGAATTTTGTCCCCAGTATATCCTCTGGAAATGCAACCCAGATTTTGGAGATGCCATGGAAAACAAGAGTGGACAATTACCATCAGTAAAAGTATCTGCAGGAAATTCCTAATTAAACCAAGACAGCTGCGCCTACCCAACAGAGGTTCAACCAAAAACCCACACACTGAGATGAGTATTTGAACGTTTGGATGTCTTGTTCCTGGAAGGTCAGGGAGCTGGTGACACAGCAGTACATGTCCTTCAGAACTGCAGGATTTAGTCTGCTCTCTCTCCAAGGGTACGTCCCTTTGGTCATTTGCAGTCAGAGTGGAGCTGAAGCCATGCACCATGCTAATGCAGTCACCTGGTCTTTAACCACAAAAGCAGGTATGGATGCTCTTCCTCTGCAGACACATCCTGTGTTACAGTACTACTAGCCACTTACACAGCAATTCAATCCCTCTTCTAGAGCAGGATGCACTGTAAAATGGACCAAGGACACTATCAAAGGAGATCACCCGTGTCCCCGCTATCAGGACCCCCCTGGCTGCCAATTGCACTTTAGGTCTGAGCTTACATTTCCTACGAGGCTTGAGGTCTCGGTTCACCGGAGGGGGCTCCAGGTCCGAGGGGAGCTCGGGTAACGGGCTGGTGAGTTTTTCAGTGCTGATGACAGGGAAGGTAAAGGTGGCTGAGCTGGGGCTCATGGGGATGTAGCCGTCGGGTGAACAGTCGGCGCCAGGCGCAGAGGGAGAAGTGCTGGGGCGCATGGGCACGTAGCTGTCCTCCGTGCTGTCCGACGCAGTCGAGTAGAGCGGGGAGAACCGACAGGGCTTCAGGAACAAAGGAGGAAAAGAGAGAGAAACAGGCTGATAAATGAATAGCTAACCTCCTGTAAGCCAGGAGGTACTGTGAGCTGGCAATGGATCTGAGCCAAGCCCCTGGCCAGCAGAGTCCCGACGTGACCTTTCTGAGAGGCACAAGCTGGAAAGACACAAGACAAACGCGTGAGTTCAGATGTATGCTCCAGCTCTGGAGAAGCTCTTTTCTAAGTTTCACAAGTCACTGCTGGGAACTAGGACCAAACTTATTGGTGACTTAAGTAGGTTAAATCCTCCAACTTCAGCGAGGCTGCACTTGCCTCTCCCAGCAGTAATTCTGACCTATAAAGGAAGGAGGCTTCTTCATACAAAAAAACAGCTGAAAGGAGAACATCTGATGAACTAGATTTTTGCAAATGTGGAAACTGAGACAGCAGACACACAGACCTACATGTTCCTTCTGTTAGCTGAGAATTAACACTAGAAATTCATTTTATGCTGGTTAGTGCTGGCTGAGTGGTGAGACAGACTGATTACAAACCTTACAAGCTTTCAAAGTGGAGAAAAATATAAGTTGCCCATCACCAGAGCTTACATACAAGCCACAAAGGATCTCCCACACAGAAGTCAATATCCAGTGCCAGGCAGAAGACTGGCTAAGTGACGTGTGATGGTGCTCCATAAAACCATGTCTGTCAAAGGTTCAGTCAGGAAGCTTTGGACTGACAGAGCCCTGAATCACAGGTGCTTTGAGAGCAGAGACTTTCCTGTGTCCTAAAGAGGAGATATCCCTTAGGATCATGAAGTGATAGGCTTCTTTTTACCCTTTTTCAAGAGATAAGCAGTTTCCTCAGGTGCTCTTGGTCAACAGTTTAATTCTAGAGGCTACTAGTATCCTTTTTCACAAGAAACCTGTCCTCATCTGCCTTAAAAACGGGGTGCTCAGTATTGTGGCCTCCCTCTCCCTCCTTTGTCAAAGGCTTCCTGTGGCCGCGAAGAAGCAGCACAGAAGTTGCCCAAAACCAAGGGCTTCTTCCATTTTTTTATTTTTCTGCTGAACACGAGATGAATGATTGAATATCAGGATATCTGAAGTTTGTTGTGTGCCAGTGTTTTAAATTTATGCAAGCACAGTACTTACCAAATTCAAGCTAAGCCTCTTATCCCGACTTCTTAAGGAACTGCCTTCCATGTCTGCTGCAAGGAAAAAAAGTGATTAAAAATGTGATAAGGCAGTGCAACCTTCGGAGATGATTCTGGAGTTAAGCATATGGCTCTAAAATAATTAGAGCTTTATAAAGATTCTGTAACTCCTAGTATTTATTCTAAATGAGAAAATCCAATGACACTTAAGACCAGAACCAACTCAGTAGTATTTCAAGAGCGATTACATCTATTTTAAGTATGATGAAATAAAGGCACATTCCATGTATAATCCAGGTCTATTATGCTTCCTATAACACAAGCAGCTGGGGATAAAGGCTGGTGTAGTGAGCAAACAAGCAAGCAAAAATTTAAACCCAGCTCCTGCTCTAGTGCCACTCTATTTTCTCATCTGTCAAACTGGAGAAATTATATGAAAAGAAACTGTAGGGAATATTAATTCATTATTGTTTGGAAAGTTATTTATTTAGGAGCCTCATATGTAAGGTGCCAGGGAAACACATGTTATTGTACAGAGGGTACATGAGGGAATTTAATGGTAGGAAAGAAATTATCCTATTTGTCACCCAAAAATGCTGATGTGGTGCAAGTGGCTCAAACTGATGGAGTACAAACAGCCAGAGAAAAGGTCACCAGTCACAGTATCCCCTTGTGCAGGCTGGCCTCTGTTATTTTTGAACCAAAAGGCAAAATCCCTGAAATCCATCATTCAGCGCATAGAAGATCAGCAGTGAGAGATGCTTACAACTACTATCCTTTTCTGGGAAATTATTTTCTGTGCGGAAAATGGTTTTCCGTGGGAATGCCTTAAAACCCTGAAACTATGTTAATCTCATCCCTGCTCTTGTGGAGATGTCAACACTGCACTGCAACTGGGGGTCTTTGTGGTGGTACCAGCATAAAGGGCAGAAGTGCTAAACAAGAACAAAGCAATACTGTTAGTGCATAAATATAATCAGATAGACACAGTCACTGTCCTGGGACAGCTACATTTATGTATTATTTTGGCAGAAAGACATTCAGGCACAACACTCCAGCAGATGCCAGGATACAGGTGCCTTATACATGTACAGCTTGTTCCCGTTCATGGCACGGCAACCAGCATACGCTGCCTTTGCACTGGGTGAACCACATCTGTTCAGCTTTTACAGGTTGCCAAGGGCAAAAAATGAAGTAAATAACTCGAGTGGGCTCATTCTGGGAGCTAGTGAGGAGTAGCTGCTTTCTCCCTGTTTCTTTTTCCAATTTTTCTTGTTAAATGCATTTTAATTCAGAGTTTAACCTTTCAAATAGTTTCAGCTGCACTTAGGGTAAGAAAAAATAGCAGCACTTATTAATTCATTGCTGCCCCCTGTCAGGCAGAGATAACCTTGCAGCACGGTAGCAGAACATGACATTTGGCCACTTAATCCTCTTAAAAACATTTTGGCATAAATTGGGTTGGAGGAACATTAACTGTCTCAAGCGTTCTGGCGGCATTAGAGCCGCAGAAGTGCAGAAGCAAGAGCAGCACCTTTCAGGGAGCAACCAAATGTAACTGATAATGAAAAATACCAATTCCACTGATGGGTGTTTCTTCAGAAACCTTCCAAGAATTGTTTGTACACTGATAAACAGGCTGGGCAGAGGTCTCCTTGCTTTAGCTTCTGAGTTTTAAGAGCAAGATCTGACAGCCCCAAACCCCGGTTGGTCATTCAAACTACAGGAACATCTAAAGGATGTTTGTCCTTAAAAACCTACATTTTCTTCCTTATCAAAAATGACACATCACTGCAAAATAATTTATGATTTCCAGGCAGGTATTCCAGCTACCTTCCTATGTTCTGTGGCTCCACAAAATAAAACTTTCTCATACTGTGTGTGCTGTTTTTTGGCACCTTGATATTCAGGGTTGACTGTTATTTTTGTTTGCAATGACGGTGTTTCCAGAACAAGTGGAAAAGTCACCTCAGTCAGAGCAGGACTTGCTTTGCAGCAGGTTTTCAGGCTACCCTGACTGAAGTGCAAGGACAAAGTGGGATTTGCTCAAGGACACACAGAGTCCCTGGTTCAACTGGGATTACATCCCATCCCCAGTGTCTCCCTGGCTTCCCGTTCTTTACTCTAAGCTGCAAAAAGACATGCTGCTGTTATGGAAAAGACTGGATGTAGCAAAGCAGCACAGCTACAGAGGGTTTTTCCCATGTGCAAGCCTACATTTTGACTTGCATTAATTTTGAGATTCAGTGGCTGGCTTTTTGTTTTTCTACTGCTTTCTTTTTGTAAGAGGGAGGGAGCACGGAAAACTAGCAAGTCATGAGGCACCCTGAAGAGATCACATCCAAATTGCTGCCCATGTGTATGCAGCGAGGGGCTTTTACAGGGCAGGAGCTGAATGTGAGGGACAGGTCTGAATTCTGCTCGCTAATTAATTTGAAACAAGAATTTTGCGTTGCTTTGGGCAGTGTATGATTTTGCAGGGGGGGGGGACAGAGAGGCAAAGTTGGAGATGAGGACCCACTCTGCACTTGTGGGCAGTTCTATTGCTCACACTGGTCCTGCATCGCTGGCTCTTGGAAATGCACTCACCTTTCCAGTTCCTCATGTTGTCTAAGCTGGACAAGGAGATCCTCCTGGGCACCAGAGCGACCTGAGCCCGGCAGATCCCTGTGTGCCCATTCTGGAGAGTCCCGCCGCCCACCTCATCCCCTTTCCTGTCTGCGAAGTGGGTTGGCTTGGGCGGCCGTGGCGGGGGCGTGTTGGACAGGATGTCCAGCTGGGTTACACCATAGGGCAGTGAGTTTTGGCTCTTGTCCATCTGAAAGGTTGGTGTCAGTGGTGTCCCCAGCAACGGAGAAGAGGAGGAAAAGTCACTGGGTGGCCCGCTAATGTCTATGTTCCTGGACACAGTGCTGGAATTTGCCAACGGAGTCCCATCCTGGTGCACAGTGCCAGCGCTGGATGGCTGTACAAGGTACAAGGAGGGCTGGGATTGCAAGGAGTCAACAAAAACATCATCCGATGAGGTTTGCTCCAGAGATCTGTCCGAATTTGACCAGCTGTCACACCTGCACAGAGACAGAGGTCAAACTTGTGCTTTCCTTTTCTCCTGGTTGCAACTGAGCAAGTGCACAGGAAAAAACTGCAACCCCACGGTTTGGGACAGAATCCATCCCTTCCCTATGGCTGTGGAAGGTCCCCGCTGAGCTGGGCTGGGGCACTTTGTGGAGGACCTTGGCCAACAGCAGGCAGAAAGGGCGTCTGAAGGGAGACCATATGTGAGGTCCCCAGCCACTTGTCCTGGAAAGGGTCAGCACCAACATACAATGCTTGACTGTTAATCTGCACTATGAAAAGCCCCCTGTAAATTGGATTAGGCTGATGGTCCCCTGTTGTGCTCGGGAGCCAACCCTCAGTGGCAGGGCTCAAGGATCAGTTTGCCCCGGTTTCCCAGGGCATCACTGGGCAGGCAGAGGGTGGCTCCATCCCGACACATATGGCAGAACCCAGACCTACCTGTTGTGGCTGAGCTTGCCCGACTCGCAGTTGGAGAGGAAGAGGTAGTCGGGGAGGAAGACCGACTCTGACTCGCTGGGGGTCTCCTCTGCAGCAGACACATCAGCAGCAGCGTGGTCGACCGAGAAGGAGGGATCGGCAATGCGGGAGGCATGGGTGGAGGCGGCCGGCGATGGCTGCGGGGACGAGGTCGTATGAGACAGGCTCTCCACCGAACCTGCAATGGGAGTGGATGGCCCCAGCTGAGAGACAGCTCTGACTCACCCTGGCCCACTGCCTCTACTCCTTGCTTTGCACCAGGGATGTTTTATCCCAGAGCGGCAGTGGGTGAAGGCAAAAACTCCCCCTGGGGAGACGGGAGCCTGATTTTGCAGCTGCTCCCCCTCCCCAGGCTGGGCCAGCCAGTTGCCAAATCGAGGGGCTGCAGGAGGTGCAGACCCCCCCTACTCTGGGGGGGGTCAGCCCCACTCCTGCAGGGCTGTAGCATCCCTTCTGCCCATTAACAAATATAGCCTCTGCTGGAGAAACTGCTGAGGCAGAGCAATCTGTTTTATCAAGTATTTTTTAGGACTTAACACAAATAATTAATTATTAATCTCCAACACTTCAAATTAAAGGCGACAAGGAAGGGGATTGATTTCTTCCCATTTCCTAGATCTCAGTGGACGAAAATGAGCTTTGCTGCTCATGGAGTAGCTAGATTTGTTCTCCTCTGAACTTGTCTGCAAACTCCTTATGCTTCTCTAGGCTGGACATCAAAGCCACGAGAACTGCGGTGCCCTGTTACTGCCCAGCTGGAGGCTTGTTGGCTCTGCTGAGAAAAGGGACACTACTTTTCTGGAGGCCACAAAGCACAGGGAAGCCTGTGCTTAGTGACACCTTCCCTGGGCACAACACTCCAGTACCCCCCAGCACAGAGAGGGGTGGAAATGGGGAGAATAGCTGTTTTGAGCTGCAGGCAACAGGGCTGGCCCAGGCTTTGCAGAACTGCCACCTGCTGAGCTCTGGGTTCAACTCCAACCACCAAGGACACCCTCCACCGGCAGCATACGGCTGAGGCACTTGTACCCAACCATCTGGTCCAACCATTGCCAGGCAGCAGAGACAAGCCTGGTTCTGTTGCTCTCCAAGCCTCCATCCTTGCTAGAGAGCTGGGGATGCTGGGCAGGAGGGATGGTGCAGTGATGGCTGAGCCATTGATGGGCTTAAGGCTAAGCATAGCCTCTGGCCCGGCTTTTGGGGCAATTCAACTCCAAAAATCAAGTCCTCAGTGTAAGTCAGACCTCCCACTATGGGCAGCTGTGGAGTGGGAAAGGCCTGGGGTGTCTTTGCAGAGCAGGTCCCCAAAGGCATCTGCTCTTGGCAGCAGAAGCACAAGCCCTCAATGAGGGAATATGATTTTTCTAATGAAGTTTCAGGTTGCTGCATGGAGGTTCTCTCACCAGGGCTGTGTGGGGACCAGGCAGTGATCACTGTGCACCCAGCTGTCCCTGACATCTTGTGGGACTCAGCAGCAGGTACCCATCTCTCTGGCTGAAACACAGACACCGCCTGAGTCAAAGCTGGAAAACCCTTCTTCAAAATAAAAAGCCTTGCAGCAAAAGCAAACACAAGAAACCAGCTACTGCTGATAAAACCAAACCAAGCATAAACATGCCTCCAAAGTGTAGCAAGAAAGCAGATTTCTCTAACACTGATATCCAGAATCTTGCAGAAATGCTTGGAACCAGCCCCTGACTATCCATGTGCATGCTGCAGGCCAGATCCTGCACTGTGCAATGAGGTCCTGAGATCCTCTGGCAGGTTCTCTCTAGTTCTCAGCTCAACACAGCAACAAGCTTTGCCACTGTACCGGGTTGTTGTAGTCACTTCTCAACCCTGGGAGGTGCTAGGTACATGCGCAAGCACGTCAGGAGGGATGGAGAGAGCTGCCAAGACTTGGGGTGGTTAGACAGCAAGATTGCTAAACACAAAAAAAACCCTGCAGTGACCCAAACTTCCACACCAGCCACAGCTTCACCCTGTCATCCTTCTGATCTCAGTCAGAAAAGGAACAAAACAGCTGCCCTGTCCATACCTCATGCCTTTAAAATGGGGAGGGAGCCACCTCTTTCCCTCCCGTCTACCAGTATGGACCCACTGATGCTTCCTCCTGTTAACTTTGGAGGTTTGGTGCAGTGACGGACCGCAGGTCAGCAAAGCGCATAAGCATGTTCTTAAATTAGAGCTTAAGCAAAGCATTTTCTTAATTTTGAGCAGGTGCTTATAGCAGCAGGATTTCAGCAGTGAGAATCAGGAAGGAATGACTTTTACAGGGTTTCGCATTTGCAAAGCAGAGCTGAGTGCTGCAGCCTTCCCATCTGAAAAATAACTTTTCTCTTGTTCATTGTGCTGGCTCAGACAGTAACTCTGCTTTCAAACCTTGGACTCTGAGAGCTGTCTTGCAAGCTGAGGATGATCAAATATGCACTGGGCTAACTCCACAGGGATCTCAGAAAAGCATGTTCACATCACCATCTGACCACATTCATTTTTTAAAAAAAAAAAAAAACAACTGAAAACTACCACAACACATAAGAAAGAGAAATTAATGACATTCTGGATTATTAACACAGAGAATGAACAGGCCTGAACTCCATCTGGTACTTGCAGGGTTTAGCCACAGATTATCCCATCAGGAAAGGTTGGGAGCTACAGACCACATGGCAACCGTTGTGAGCAGGAGGGAGGGATGGGGACAGCACAGACCTGCCCTTTTCTAACCTTCAGGGACTCAGGGACCTGTAGCCAACTCCTAACAGACCGGCCCTGTCTCTGCCAGCTCTGCTGGTAACTGAATCAGCATGCATTAAAGTTGTGCCGCGGCAGCAGCTGGGTAGAATAAATTATGCATGGCCATTTTTGACAGTGAGAAGGCAGAGAATAGGTTTGGTGCTTGCCCTCCCCTTCGCCAGAGAGACAGCGGGCAGATTCGGCTGCCAAAATAACTGCTTCGGTGGGTACTAACCCAAAAAATCTCTGCCTGCACTGATGGGGAAAGTCACCATGAAAGATGTGAAGCGTGGGTGACTTTCCCCATCAATGCAGGGCCATTGCTTGGAGAAACAGAGGGCTTCTCCCTCCTGCTACAGACCCCAGGCCACTCCCCAAAAATTGTTACGGTGCAACAGCAGTGCAGGAACACAGTGAGATAAGGGAGTCCTGCTCACAGCAATCCCCCGCCAGGCTGCATGACCATACCAAGGAGGTAGAGACACCACCCACCCTTCCTGGCCAGGGGCCAGAGCCTGACATTAAAGAGCAGCCTTGAGTCTCTGCAGCCGAGAAGGGATTTCCTCCCGCTGAGAGGGGAGTGTGAAGGGAGTAGTGTCAGTGCCTGTCCTGCAGCATGGGCTGGGAGGAGCCGTCACAACTCCCCTGACCTCCTGTGCAAGGGCCAGACGCTGCTGTGAGCAGGCCCGCCGGGAGCCTGCCTGCCCGCTTTGTAGGGGAACAGGGAGGGAAATAAAGTGAAGATGCTCAGGAGAAAGTGTCTCTGCAAGGAGAGCATAGTCCCTCCAGGTAGCCCCCTTATGTGGTGATCCTGGCTCCCCTTGCTCCCAGCATGCTGTTCTCACCAGAGGAGATGCTCCCCAGTGTGGCTGCAGCAAGGTCTTGGGGAATCAAACCATCCCCATGCCATGGCAGGGTGTGTGCACATTGGCAAAATTAAAAAAAAGGGGAGAGACATTTAAGGAAAGAAGCCATCAGAGGAGCAGCAGAAAGGGAGAAAGTCCCAGTAATGGGCAAGAATGGGTGTGAACAACAGAGCAACCAGAGGTGAGGGAGAGGTAGAGGAACAGAAATACTCTAATCCAGCTGCCAGCAGCCAAGAGGGACACAAAGGTCTGTGTCCCTCTTGGGGGACATCCTGGCCCATGCACTGTGCAGGAAAGGCACCAGTGAGGGGGCCTCTGCGGGGACATCAGGTTCCACTGTGGCCCTAGGTGCTGTGGGAGAGATTAGAGCAACAGGGAAGCATTGGAAATCAGCAGGGACCTTCAGGTAAGGGGTGCATCCAGAAGGAGCAAGGTGTTTTCATGGGATGTGGAACAAAACCTGGAGCCTATGGAAGAAGTGAAGAGGGAACCCAAGGCAAAAAGTCCCTCTTGGGCTAAGGAGCTGCCTGCCAGGGCATGGCCTGGGGAAGGATTCAATGCACAGCTACAATCTTTAAAAGTAAGGCTTCAAACAACTTCCACAGCAGTTTCTCCAATGAAAAGCTGCTATATTTCGTTGTGTCAATTAATCATAGTTTCAGCTTGCATATGGGATAAAGCGTGCCCATGATGTCCCATCGCCACCTCATTTCATCCCCTCCCCAGCCCAGCCACTTGGCCCAATCCTCCTCTCAATCACCTGATCGAGGTGGCCACGGGTCCCATGGGGTTGGGGAATGACTGCTCCACTAGAGATGGTAGGAAAATAGGGAGGGAGGCCCTTCACTTTCAGCACAGCCAGTGGCACAGTTTCTTATGGCAGTCGAGTGCCACAGCAGAATTGTTGCTGCTGGCAAGTCCTTCCTGACAGCCGCCCTCCCAGGTGCTTCCTGACATCTGCCTGGCGCTTGCCCTGCGCCTCTGTCTCTCAGCCATCCCCCTCTTGTTGACTAAAAGCTGTCCTCACAGGGCCAGCTGCCCTTTGCTAACTGTAGTCCCTGTCTGGTGCCTACATGCCAGACCAGAGGCTGCTGATTGCTAAGACCTGGCTGTTTGTCCCACGGCTTTGCTACTGGAAGGGACCAACGGGGAACAATGCGACGGTGTTTCCACCGTGCAAACTGGTGGCTGCCCTTTCCGTGCATTAAGTGGAGAAAGCAGCAGATTCGGTTTTGGTCTCAAAGTCACAGCAAATTTTCAGGGATGCAAGGATTAAGAGTGATTGATTTCACAAAATAATATTGGCTTTGAGATTCATTTTAACACAGAGAATAGCTTATTAAAGTTTCCTGCAATTGATGTGTCTTTCTTTTGATGATTCATTTCAGAGACTATTATTTTTTTTAACACAGTAGCATTCAAGTTAAAAAAGCATATGGCATTTAATAGAGCTTTTCTCTTCTTATGTTAATTTTTAAGGGTAATTTGTTTAAACCTACAGGCTCTTGGGGGATTTAGGTGCTTCCAAAAAGCTGAAGCAATTAACAACTCTTTGAAATGTGATGGGCAACCTGTGGAACTGTGCAGATTTAAATCTGAGGATCTGAATGTGCCCTGCAGCCTGACCTGAATACACCCGAGACCTGACCTCACTGGCATGAACTGCAGGATAAATAGAAGATCTTATGAGCCATTTGCCGTTAGAGATAGATAGGATAAGTGCGTGTCTGGAAGCTTAGCTTATGCAGTCTGTGATGAGGTCTGTAAGTTCAGGTGCCAGACTTTATACTGAAACAAGGCAAATACTCTGCACTGCTGAACTTCTTGGGGGATAATATCCACCTTGAAGGGAGTGGAAAGCTGGGATGTCAGCTTTCCCAATCAAGAGTTGTCACTTCTTGTCCAGCAGTGCCTACACTGGCAATCTGTGCTGGGAGAGAAATACCACTGTGTACTACTCTGAGTATTGCCCATACATAAGCCTTATAAATGCATCTGTCCTGGGGACAGCCGCTGCCTTAGCTCCTCTCTGCCACACATCACATCTCCCTGTGCACATCCTCAACACAGTGCCAGTACACATTCGAGAGACAGAAATTATTTTTCTTTTTTTCTGTTTTGCATGGAAAGACTTACCTTCATTTCAGAGTAATTGGTAAAATTATATCTAAAAATATACTGCACTAGAAGTAGCAACGCAAGAGCAGCATCTCAGTGTCAACAAGGGCAGATCAGCAGGAAGGGGGTCACTGAATATTCCTAATTACATCCAAACTCTAAGGGGCTATTAACTCAAATCCCTCAAAGCTATCAGCTCTAATTTGCAAGTTGCATTCATGGGCAGTTTGTACTGGCACATAAAAATACGTCAGCACATTTTCTTGGTGGTCTCTAAGGCAAATGGGGAAAGAGCAGACATTACATCTATAACAGGACCACTGCAGTGCCCCTGCCATTCCCCTCTCCCCTCAGAATAAACTACTGAAGAGAAAATTAAAGAAGACCAAAAACCAGCATAGATTAAAATAAAATATCTCACCACAGCGTTTTGTTTCCTTTCAAGTTACAAGGTAAAGGTATGGCTACGTGGCACTTGCAGACACCAGTAGCAGTCAGACCACAGCAGTACAGAGACCACAGCAGGAGAATATGTCTGGCCACACCATGACACCCTCAAACATACTACTGCCCTTGGGATTGAGTGCCCCCATTACCACCCTTCTCTGCTCTTGCACTGCCATTTATCACAGAGAAAGGACTTTGTTCTGACTCACTTCCTATGAAGCTCTCAAATTGCTGCTGTATCTGCCCCTTGGAAATGTCAAGGGAAAGACAGATTGCTGTTATCTGAGCCTGATTGTCTCATTTGAAAGGTAAGTTAATGATGATACAGGTCCCGACTTTAATTACTGACTACATTCATCTTGGAGTGGTTAATTCTTGGAAGCTTTCCAAGAATTCACCCTACTGAGTATATACAGGTGTAGGTCCTGGCAAAACAGGTTGACTTTACGCTTCACTGGAAGGACCATCTCTTAAGTCTAGACACACACTTCTAACACTCTCCCATCTTCTGCTTTTTCTTTATTTTTCTTCTCACTGGTAGACTAAGACAGCTCAGTATTTTTATCATTGATTTATGTATGTGCATATACACCCAAGTCAGTGCACATTCCACATCCAGCAAAGCCTGAGAAAACATGACTTTTGCAGGACACTTTCCTGGAACAGGTGTCTTATATTAAGCCAAACTAAATAAATATGGGACATGTAATGAAATAAACAGCCCCAGAAGATAACACTCAATCAGCTTTTCACATAAACAATACCTTTTCTTATTAAGGACCTGCTGTTTATTTTAGCAGGAATTGGTTCATCAAAGTGAGACCTAGCAGCCAGCTGTTATTTCTACCCAGCAGTGTTGAGATCCCCAATAGCCCAATCAGCCAGCAAGGTCCATGCTTCTTCTCACCACTGGTGCTGCTGTGGAGGAGCCCAGGCACTGGTCATCCTCCCAACCTCCAATGAGCATGTTCGTGATCCTACCTGTGCCATCTTCTAGATGTCCAAAGTTACAGATCTGGCTGATGTTGTGCACCCAGATCTGCATCTCTTCCTCAGTTTTGGCTACCAGGTAGAAGGTGCGGTAGGTGGTTCTCACAATAAAGACAAAGTTGTTCTGAAATTCCTTCTTGATGAAGTTGGGCCCTGAGTGCTTCAGCACTTCGCACTCATTGAGGTCGATGATCCGAATGGGCTTTTTGGAGTGGTTGTTCCTGTAGTACTCCAGCACATCTGGGTTCCCACTCATGCGGCCTCTGCGTAGCACAAACCAGCGCTTCCTCCATGCCTGCAAATGGCACAAACACAACCCTTTTACTGCCAACCACATAATATATCAGCCCACACATGCTTATTTTCTTTTATGTTTTATAGTTGTTTTAATAAGCTGGCCAAATTGTGACTTTGATTTGATGTGCTTGCTATCAGCTTGCATTTGTGACAGGAAAAAAGGCAGAGAGTTGTCCCTTTGGAGGTGAAGAGGAGCAAGACTTCTCCCCTCTCACCCTCAGCCTGCCAGCATGGGGTAATCAAAATGATCTGGTACTTCACCATCTCATCTACAGAAGAGATTATAACCCATTTTATTTTGTGAAATAAAAACACCTAGGACTGCATCCTGTGTTGCAGCACATGAGATAATATCTAGCAACAAATGCCTTTTGCCCAGCAAACCCAGGGCTCCAGATGACCTGTGCAGCTCTCTTCGATGGTTTTCAGTGCTAATAAAAAGCTGTTAATGAACTGCCAGTTACTTCTGAAAGCCCAGAGCAAACCTTAAAGGAGTTGTAGTGCTAAAAAAGTTAAACAGAAAACTTCCAAACTTAACAGAAGAATGCCTATTTACACAGACACTTCTTCAAGTGACCATCAACCCAAACCAAACCTGGTTAGCAATGATGCCATTTAGACCTTTGTGACTGAAGGTATGGGTTCCATATAGGCTTAAATGAAGTCCTGGCAGGACTAGGATGCATCATCACTTAATAGAACTACATGCAAGTTTCTAGGAACAAAATAAAACATTTTCCCCTTTTTCAGCAGCTGTTTTCGTTCATCAACAGTATAAGCGCCTCTGTGTTGATTACAGCTGTCACCACACTCTGAGGGCCAGAAGAAATCCACTCCGAGCTCTGCTCCACAGAGAAAAACTGAAATAAGACATTAAGAGCCTCCTCCTTACCAAACTCCATAAAACTGTGTAGGATAAAGCCATGCCCAAACCAGCGAGGCCTGAGTGGCTGCCAGGGAGCAGCTGCCCCAGCTCTGATGGCAGCCTGGGAGAGGTGCAAGGACTCGCCCACTGCCCAGGAGCCTGTGACAACTGTACGGCCACTGGCTGCTTTAGCTGCCTTCAGGAGAGTTAAAAGTTCATTAAAGAATCATCTGAACAACAACCACCACAACCTCCCTACCCAAATCTTATTCAAGTGCTCTTTGCAAAATGACTTGCCACAAGAATGGAAATCTGGGTGATACCTTGTGCTTGAATTAAAAGTCATGCTCATTTTGCAGAGAGGGGATCTGTCTGTCAGTTTAAAGACAGCCAACCATTTGGCCTTAAGGCAAAATAACTGAACTCAGGATGCTTCCTCTAAGATCTAAGTCCTTACTGGCACAGTTTAAGATCAATACAGGCAGTGCAGATTTTGCTGACTCAGAGTTCCCATGGGCATGGTGATAGTTAAAATAATCAACAAAAAATAGCAACAATCATTTGTCGAGAAGAAGCTTGCTTTTTTTTTTTTTCCTACTCAAAAGAGACTTTCTTGCAGTGCAGCAAGCTTTTCACAGTCCATATTCATCCAAAAATTTATCTAGAAGTAAGTTTGTTCAGCCTGACAGGACCATAATCTATTTTGAAAGCAAAAGATTCTTCAAAAACAATATACAGGGACCAGAGAATGAAATATCATAGAGGGAACTCTCGCAAAACTGAGCAAACACATGTTGACCTGTGTAAAGGTGGGATTTTCAGACAGGGAGGGGGGTATCACATCAGGAATAAACAGGAAGCAGAAGCGAGGTGCAAAGTGTATTGCACAAAGAAAATTCAGTCTTGCCCTCATGACCTGTTGAGGTTTGAAAGTGATTTGGTCTCTGTTGAAAGTAGCTAGAGATAACAGATGTCTGAGTCTACTGTTGTGAGAGCCAGGAAAAAAAGAACACACACTCCCCTCAAAGGAAATAGAAACAAAGGAAAAATATTTAACAGAGAAACACTTTCCTGATGAGCAAGCTTCAACAGTGGAATACAGCGCAGCAGGTATCTCACATGTATAGTCCCAGAAAGACCCATGTCTCTGCCACCAGCAGCCTGAGTGCCACACAGGCCTAATGCACACCCCACAGATGCACCAGGATGGAAAGGTGACATCCTTTCACACATTCCCACCCCTAAACATCAAAAGAGAAAAGCTTCAGGAGGAATAAGCCAAAGGAGACCTGCTTCTTTGCCTCCCAGAGGAGCAGATTCTAAAGGCAGAGAGGGGAGGGCATCATCACATCTTCCCCCAAGACTGCAAGACCACTTCTCATTCCTCTTCCTAAGGTTGCTGGCCCTGCCCCTTAAATACACCTGGCTCCTTCTGATGGAAATTGAGTGGAATCACCTGCACAGGGGCAAGCTGGGGAGGGGGAGGAACGGAATGGGGGAGTAGCCTTGCTGGCATCCATGCAGCTGTGGGGAAGTTGGAGCCTAGCTCTGAGGCTCAGGTCAGCTCAGGGCTACCTGCCTGATCGCCAGTACAACATCCTTAGCCACAGCAGCCCAGTCCCCATTTCTTTAGCATTTTAATTTTCATGGGTCGGAAAGAGTCTGTAGTTTCAGCACAGTGAGAGGAGAGAGAGAGCTGCAGCTGTGCTTTGTGGAAAAGCTCACGGTCCCTCTGTTGTGAGGTGCAGGCTGGCTTTGGTGTGGTGCGAGCAGCCATGGCTCTGCTGGCTTGGTTTTGTAGTAGCTGAGAAGCTGCCTGATAACCTGTTTCCTTGCAGATACGCAATCTGATCAAGCTCATCATCTGGCTGGCGCTGTGAGACGGGAAATGGAGAGTCAGTGTGGCTTATGGGAGAGGAGAGCAGGGCTGAGGCTGTGTGAGAAAAAATGTGTAGCATTTATAGCTGGGCAGCCATGAAAACAGGGCTGAGGGGAAATAATGCCAGGTAGCTGCCCAAATCTGCACTGCCCTTTGGAAGGGTGGGCCTCCTCTCTCCATCTCCTGCATGGCTGCCCTCTCTGCCTTCCTCAGGTTCGTGGTGGTATCTCCTGTGAGTTGCGGGGACCAGAGCAAAACCTGCCCATGCTGCCAACTCCCTGCTGGACTTGGAGCCGAGGGGAGGGAGCCTTTCAACAGGCACAGCCTGAGACAGCAACAGTGTGGGTCAGTCAGCGCTCACAGGCTCATATCTTCACAGATATCTAAGCACTCAGCCTCCCTTGGAATCAGTGGGGTGCCTGGGCAGGGTGGCAGCAGTGCAGGGTGGTGGCACAGCCTGGCCGATGGGGAGTTTGCCACCACTGCCTGGCCAGCTTGCCTGCTGCCCCGCACCAGTGCTGCTCCTTGCCTGCCACCAAAGGGAGCTGTGTAAGGACCAAAACCAGTGGAGACCATCTAGTTCCACACTGGGAAAGGGAGAGTGCTGCCAGCCTGGTGCCCTGCACCCAGCCTCCCCGGGTGCAGGCAGGCCAGTACCAGGAGAGGGGGAGAGGATGAGACCAGGTCTTCCCTGGGTGCTTGCTGTTAACATCAGCTTTGTCATACCATCAAACTGCACCCACATGCACAGCATGCACTTGCACCATGCCTTTCTGGGCTCCTTTTATTTCCCTGCAGTCTTTAGGAGGAAAGTGGCACGGCTACCAACACAGCTACCTGCGTGGGAGGGGCTGAAGGACCATCTTTTGCACCTCTTCTCCCATTTAACACATCCAGTCCCACCACTGTCTACACACTCATTTCCATTCTGAAACTTTCACCGATATGTACCTTTATTCGCAAAATGTACACCAAACCACTTTCGCTTATCCCCCAACGCTGAGTGTACAATGACACTAAGTACTGAGTGTTTTTGAGACGCTCGCAGCTTGCCTGCGAATGGACACGAGCAGGTTTGCGTTACCGATACACAGGGCTCGCCCTGCTCTGTGGCATACGCAAAGCAGGGGTTTTGGCACACCTTTCAACACGAGGCTTTGATCTCCAAGAGTCAAATATCATCTCCTCATTTTCCTGGCATTTGCCTGCAATGAGCTGCACGTCTTCTTTCCCCAGGGGAAGGGGATGCAGCACACCGGAGTCACTGGGAGCCCAGCTGTGGCAGGCCTTGGCCAGACAAGATGGCGGCGGCAGCTTTTATCTCACAGGGATGCGGGCAGCTCCTGTACCACGCAGTCCGCTCTGCCGGAGCAGGGGCTGGGGTTCCTCTGCCCTGGGCTGGAGGCACAGGAGGTGCCTGGCACCTACAAGGTAGACATTCACACCCCATGGCAACTCCCCTCCAGTGCCCAGCCCAGCCCTGTGGCAGAGCATGGTGGGGTTTTACCTAGTTGTAGTTTTCTTTTTAAAGAAAACTGACAAGTTTCTTAAAAACTGACAAGGCTGCCGTCTCTGCCCGCTGTTACGGTTCTTTCCGCCATCCCTGTTTTTTTGTCTTTGCAGTGTGACCTTTGCCCACAGACCAGGATGTGGAGTGGTGTGGTGTGTGCCTTCCTCCCCTTCCCCATTGCTCACCTGAACCAGAATCACAGAATCACAGAATCTTCTAGGATATTAGCTCTAATGGGAAATAGAGAATTCTCTGGTGCGCTGAATTCAGTGACACATGGGTATTATCTGAGGGTGGAAAGCAAATGTTTGCTGTACTGCAGCATTCCCTTCTCCTCTGTATATATGTCTGCTCTGTTTGGTGAATCACAGTGACTGAGATTTGGTGTGATCATTCTAATAATTTCAATTCAAAACAGCACTTTTGCTGGGAGGATTCTTCTTTCCTCTCTGTTCTGGTGGAGGTGTTGGCCAGGGTTTGGGTGTATTTTGCTCCTTGTTCTTTCAGTACTTGCCTTCCTAAGGGCTTGTCTGTGGCTGCAGACTCTGTCCATTGTCTCACCATCACAGCCCCTTCCCACCACACTACCCCAGTCATTACTTGGGAGCAGCAGTAATCAACAATAAGGTCATTAATATGGGATGCATGGGGTAGGGGGTAGTGGTGTATGGAGTCCTTTAACTTGCACGCTGGTACTCTGGATACCAGTATCACAGAATCACAGAATCTTCTAGGTTGGAAGGG